CAGCCCTGGAAGGCTCTACATTCTCCTCACTCGCATTAGCACTTGTGACTGTGCGACCCTCCTTCTCAAATGGACCCTGACTGAGCAGGCCTGGGGCCGAGCAAGGCCCGGCTCCCAGAGCCTAGCCTGGGGTTGGGATTTTGTAAGAAGCCCACAGGCCCACTCCTCCGTCTGCAACTGATTCATCACGCTGATCATGGGTGAACTGCCCTGCAGTGGGGTGGGCTGTACCAGCCACCGCTGATGCCACCATTGGACTTGAGTACTCCCCACCCCCAACCCCAGGCGGCCGGGCTTCCCTGGCAGCAGCTATTTCTGGCGATTTCTGCAGCAGGGATGAGCAGCAGTGGGTAGAAAGGGCGGAGTTGCTCAGTGGGGCAATTGGGGAAGCACAGTACAGCGAGGACCCAGCACAACTTGGAGAGCCAGGGGGGGCTGGTGGGGGGCTGCTTACCAAGAGCACTGGCCCTCCAGGTGGTGGCAGAGCAGCACCCTGGGAAGGGACCAAGGAGCTACCTTGACCAGGCTGCAGGTGTTGGGTCTTGTGAGATGCTGGGCAGAGCAGACCTTGGGCCCAGGAAGGAGCAGGTGGGGTCCGTATGGACAGGCTTTTCTGGGGAGGATGGTGCTGCTGGAGACGGGTGGCTGGGGCACTGAGAATCAGGGATGGGGTCTTTTGAGAATGGAGAGACAACAGAAAGATAGACATGAAGGGTTCTAGCCCAGGCTCCAGAGTTGGTGCCAGAGCTGCCGCCTCTTTGCCCTGTGACCCAGGCCTAAGTGCTGACTTCTCTGTGCCTCCTCGTCCTGATGGGTAAGTGTCAAAACCAGCAAGGCTGCTACAGTGACGGTTGGTGACGACAGTGGTCTTTGTGGGCATCCCGTCACCCATCTATCCTGCACATCCCTCTAATCCCCTCTCTGGATCCAGGTTCAGCACCAACTTAGCAAAGTGACAACCCATTCAGTTTTTGGAAGGAGCTGGGCCTGCATCCAAAGCCTCGCTCTGCCACTTGGAATCATTGCTCGTGTTCTCACTCAAGGACTCAGTCTTTGCACCTGCAAACTGGGACTCCTAGAAGTCACCATAGCAACCTAGAAGTCGCTGTGACTCATAGCAACCCTTTAGGGCAGAGCAGAAGTGCCCTTGTGAGTTTCTGAGACTGTAACTGCTTATGAGAGTAGAAAGCCTCATCTTTCTCCCATGGAGTGACTGGTGGGTTTGAACTGCTGAGTTTGCAGTTAACAGTGACTGGTGGTTTTGAACCATTGGCCTTGTGGTTAACAGCCAGTTGTTACTCCTCAGCAGTTGAGCTGGCTCAATGTACACAAAGTGCTCTAGGCACAGTGAGTGCTTTGTTTTTAAGGAAATGAAAGAAGTCAACGGGTAATCTGGGAAGGGTGTAGGATGTGTGGCGAGGTGGGCAGGAAGGAGTGTGGTCTTATAGCATCTGAACACTAGCCAGGAGGCTTGGGAGCAAGAGGGGAGGGAGGAGGGCGGTTCTCCATCTATCTGGCCATGTAAGTCCTGGGGTCATGTGGCCACAGCTTAGCTCAAGGCACCCCTGGGAAACTGTAGTCTGCCCAAGGTCCACCTCCAGGGGCAGACCCCAGAGCAGGAACAGGAACTACACCTGTAGTCGCCCATCACCAGCTAATTGGGGGCTGGCTGTCCCCCTGGGGAACGTAGTGAGTCAGGCTTGCCAGACAAACACAAACTCATCAGCAGTGACTTCTCCTGCAAAGGCAGCTGCTACCATCTCCCCGCTGAGAGGGCCCGGTTCCGCCTCCCTGCTGCAGCTGGACCCAGAGAGAGCAGATGGCCCAGCCTGGCTCAGATTCCAGCCAGATTGCCAGGGAGGTGTGGGTGGCATGGGGATCAATGCTGGGGGCTGGAACACACACGTGAGGAGGGCCTGTAGGGAATGGGGAGGGGACCTAGGCCCAAGGCTGCTCTGAGCTCCCTGGGGAGATCAGGTCCCTTCTGGCCTGGTTGAAGGTGCTTGGAAGACAGAAGATGTTGATGGCTTTGTTATTATAGTCCATGTACCCAGCAGAAGACTGGCCACAGGCAGGAGCCCAGTGTTATCTATAGCTATCTCTATCTGAATAAATGGTAATAACAGCTCTCAGGTAATGCCTTCCTCAGTTCTCCTAGCAGCCCATTTTACAGCTGAGCATACAGAGTCCTTGGCCTTTGGCCACAACTAAACAAATGTGCAAGGATCCGGTTACTTTGACATAGATGATCAAGCCTGCGAGTTGGTGCTTCTGGGGCCAGGAGGGGGTATGGGCAAAGAGGGGAGGTGGTGGCTGCTTCTGGCGGGAGGGGAGAGCTGCCCCTCCTGGCTGAGTGCTCCCTAAGTCCCGGTGACCCCAGAAGGGCCCAAGCCAGTCCCCTCCACGGTGGAAGATGCTCACAGAGGAAGCAGAGCACCTGGGAAAGTAGGTACCAGGCCAACTGGGTCCAGTGGAGCAGTCTGTGCACTGCACAACTCCAGGGGGTGCCATGAGGCCACTCACACCAACAGTGGCCACAGCGTCCCTGGGCTGCGGAAGCGGGTAATGCTACAGGTGGGGCTCACATCATGTAGGGCCATGAAAGCCAGGGACTGGCAGATCTTTTCTCGGGAGGTAGAGATTTTGAGCGGGCTATGGCTGATGAGTATTTAGGGCTTTCGAGAGATGGGGCTGACTCGTGCCACCTCTTGGACTGAGACAGCTGTCCACCATTGGGGTCATTGCATCTCGGTGCCCCACGCAGCACGGGGAGCGCCCAGCAGTCACTGCTTAGCCTGACCCTCAAGTGGGGCTCCCAGCCAGGAGACCTGACCAACCCCCTGTCCCCATGGGATTTGAACCCTTGCCTCACGGGGGCAGAACCTCCCAGAAACACATCCCAGAGAAGAACACAGTAGCTATTTCTACAGTCCTGAAGGCCCCTCACCCGGCCCAGGGCATCCACACTAAAAGAGTGGGTCTCGGTGACCAGTGGCCTCGCTGGCGCCTCTTCACATGTGGCTAGCTCTGAGGACAGCTCTGCCTGCTGCAGACTCAAGGGGTCAGAGGTCAGCAGACTCCTGGGTGGTCTGCTGTGCTCAAGGATGGAGTCTTGATGCTTTGATTGATGGTCAGGCTGGAGCCATCCTGTTGAAGACAAGGTCACGGCGAGGCCCTGCTGGGAGCCAGGCCTGGGTATAGAGCAGTCAGTCCCGGGCGGCTGTCCTGTGTTCTTTGGGGCCTGGTAGCCAGGGGCAGGCACACCCAGAGCTTTTCATCATCTCCTTAGTTACGCCATGAGAACGCAGCAAGGCTGTGAAGGAGGAGTACCTATGTGTGGAGGGGTCGAGGCAGGGCTAACAAAGTAGGAAAAGGGTCACAGTCTTCAAGGGACTAGCCCCTCCGTCCTCCCTCCTCTGCTCTTGGGTGGAATGTGGGCCCAAGGGGCAGGGTGGGGGAGAGGTGAGGGGGCATCATCAAAGCAGGAGGGATTGGAGGCTGGGGCTGGGGCTCAGGTGGGCTTCCTTCACCCCTTGCTCCCTCTCCACCTGAGGCTTGGACTCACCTGAGAAGGAGCATTTGGTGCTCCCTGGGGGTCACCCCCTGGTGTGGGGGGCCTGCAGTGTTAGTAAATAGGAAGAGCTGCCCCAGGGAGGGGGCTCACAGTCAAACCAGGGGCAAGACACTGGGGCACCTCGATTTCTCCCCTTTGCCCCCAGGTCAGATCAGCACTGTCCCCCTTTGACCGATGAGAAAACAAGGGCACTGAGAGGGCAGTATCTTGACTGAGGTCACCGAGCGAATTAGAATGGCGCCCATGAGCACCCAGTTTGCAGAAGGTGATGGGTGACAGTGGAAGCCCAGAATCCATTCGCAGGGCCCACACATGGGTGAAGTGTCCGGTAAATCCCCTCTGAGTGCAGTCCAGGGGTGCGGATAGCCTGCGGTCAGCCAGGGAACACTGTGAAGCACATGAGGGCAGAGGTAGTTAGGGCCAAGTGAAATGCACTACCTTAGTCATGTGATGTCCCTTTGGCCCCACTGTAAGCATTTACTCTTTCCTGCTTTCTCTCCATCGAGGCTTCCCTGCGTGGGGTCTGACCCTGTTGTTGACGTCTGGTGTTTGTTTGCTTCCTGTTTGTGTGTTGTCCCATTTTCTGCATATGAAATCCAAGATCGGGAAATCTACAGAGACAGTAACTGGATTAATAGTTACCTAAGGCAGTGGTTCTCAACCTTCCTAATGCCACGACCCTTTAAGACAGTTACATGTTGTGGGGACCCCCCAACCATAAAATTATTGTCGTTGCTACTTCATCACTGTCATTTTGCGGCTATTATGAATCGGGTGACCCCTGTGAAAGGGTCATTTCACTCCCGAAGGGGTCACGACCCATAGGTTGAGAACTGCTGACCTAAGGGCATGGCCGGGGAGGGTGGGGGAGCGGGACTGGGGAGCTAATAACAAGGAGTACGAAAAACAATGTTCTGAAGGTGACTGAAGTGATGATGGCACAGCTCTTATTAATAGGATTGGATGGTTACATTGTATGACATGTGAAGTAATACCAATACAACTATTTAAAGGGGGGGGAGGAATGACACCCACATTTGAACCCAGGCCACCTGACACGCGTGTGTGCTTTTGACAGCCAGAACAGGCCCTCCTCCCCAGACAGCTAAGATAACCCCTTAGCTCAGTGCCTGGCACACCGATGCCTTCAGTAGCATCATCAGTTGTTGGCATCTGTTATTATTCCACAACAAGACAGGCCATGCCACCCGCCTCTTGGAAGCCCTGGGCCACAGAACAATCTCCTGCCACTTAGTCTCCTGATCTGTGAAATGGCGAAGCTGTTCGCGCTTACTGCACGGGCCCCTGTGAGGAGTGGGCCAGGCCGTTCATGTCAAGAGCTGAGGAGGGAGGACTACTCCCCGGGGGCCTCACCCTTGCTGGCCAGTGTATGGTGGAAGCTCATTCCTGTCCCCTCCTGTTACAGTACGCTACTTCCTGAAGAATAAGGTCAGCCCCGATTTGTGCAACGAGGATGGACTCACAGCCCTGCACCAGGTAAGGCCGGCCGGGCTCCCCAGCTGGGTGCATGAGTCTCCCTGCCCTGCCCTGCCCTGCCCAGGTGCTCCAGGGAGAAGGGAGAGACAGCCAGCCGCCACAGCTGCCCATCTGAAAAGCTCTTGTGTACCATTGAGATGGGTGCATCTTACACAGATACCCACAGACCCCAGGGTCCATGTGCACGCACACGCACGCGCCCTGGGACAGGGAGCCTTTGTTCCCTGCCCAGCAAAGGGCTGGACCATAAAGCCTGTTTGTGTGGATCAGGACCAGCCACAGAGCACATTCACCCCGAGGGTGGCCCGGCCACCCCCACTCAGGCAGTACCATAGAGCCAGCCTGCCTGCGGGGGAAGGGTTGTCACCGCTCCCTGGACCTTGAGGCAGCCCCTACTCTGGTGCTGAGCCTCCCACCCAGCCCAGGCACTGTTCTTCCTCCACTTGATGGCCACAGGAATGCCCAAACCAAGAACAGGCTCATGTCACTCAGAGATCTCCAGTGACTTCTCACGACGCTGAAGCAAAGAAGAAAATCTGGGCTGAGGCCGAGCCCACCAGCTTCATGCTACGGCCCGCTGCCCGGCTCCATGCACCCAGGCCTCCAGCTTCTCAATCCTCACACCCACTGCTCCTCCCTACCACGCGTCATGCAGCCTGGGCGTTCCTGCCCATCCTTGGTAGAGTGAGAGCCAGGTACTGGGCACACCCTTCTATGCGGCCGTCCAGCCAGAGCTTGGCACTTTAACCTGTAGTGTGATGGTTTGATGTGGGTCTCTCGGCAGCCAGACTGAGAGCCCCTGTTCCTCCTCCTCCACCTCCTTGCTGGGGAGCACATAGCAGGTGCTCCTTAGGACATGCTGAATCAGGGACTGAGCTCACTGAAGCTCCCTGTGCACTTGAACATGCAGGCAACCTGAGAGGGCAACCAGGCCCACACAGGGCAGGGGAGGCCAATGGAGACTGGCCATTGCTGGGTTAACTCATTAACCCCCCTGGGGGTGGGGCATGTCCTCAAGTGGGTGTGGAACCAGTTTATTCCAATGCTGAGACTTGAAGGAGAAGTGAATCTCCGTTGTAACAAGATCCTTGGTCATCCTTATGTTGACACAACTTCTCAGCAGGGGTTCACACTGGGCTGCACCCACCCTCTGTGTGTGTGTGTGTGTGTGTGTGTGTGTCCTGTTGGTTCCCTATATCTTCTCTTGGCTTCTGTCCCCGGGACCTTGGGCACCTGTGCCAGGGCATTGCCTCAGTATACCCAGGACTCTGCCACGGGAGTGCTCCCCAACTCCCCACTGGCAACTGCCAAGCACAGGCAGTGACCAGCGGCTATGAGCGTGTGACCCGCTTCCTAGGGAGGCATTTGGGGTAGGTCACTCATCAGTTGTGTGACCCTGAGCTTGTCACTTAACCTCTCGGAGCCTGTTATCTCATTTGTAAATGAGGATAACAAGCACCTGTCTCACAGAGTTGCTGTAAGGGTTCAAGTGAACGTGGGTGGGCGGAACCCTTCCCGACATCCCTTGGCAGCAGTAACTACTGTCACTGCCGTGTGAAATCCAGCCTGTGTCCGCTCCCTGCAAAGCTCTTCCCTTTGGTATTTCACTTGCTCCTCAGAACAACCCCCAGAGGCACTGTGATCCCCATTTGACAGATGAGGACACAGAGGCCCAGGGGCAGTACTGGCCCGACGAGCCTGCTGCAATGATGGGAGGGCGCTGTGGCCACACAAGAGCCACGAGCCACTTGAAACCGGTCACTTGAAACGTGGCTAGTATGACCGAGGAGGTGACATTTTCATTTGATCTTAATGAATTGCAATAAATGCTCGTCCCCACACAGCACAGCACGTTTGGGGAGCTGATGTCTCTCTGCTCAAGGTCAGAAGGATCTGGGATTCGGCAGGAGACAGTCTGATGGCGGAGTCTGAGCTTGTAACCACAAGCCTGGTGGTCACGGTGGCTCCCCCTACTCTGAGCCCAGGCCTTCCTCGAGTTCCTGGCCCTGCAGTAGTGACCCCTATGCTGGTAGCCTCTGGCCAGCTCCAAGCCACATCCCACCTCTCTCCTGATGGTCAACTGGGTTCCCAGAACCGATCTCTCTCCTGTGGGTTCCTGGACTTCTGGGGTGGGGGTGGGGCTTCTGGTCAGTCGGGGAAGTGGGAACTCAGACTGATGAGCGAAGCACCCATTCTCAACCCCCCACCCCCTTCACCTTGGCCCCATTCCGGGAACTCTCTGTTTTCTGTGCTCCTCATTTTGCCCCTGTGGCCTGTGAGCTCCTAGCAGTGTCCTGCCCCCTTGGTTCATCCTGGTCCTCTGCTGGGGACAGGCCCCGGGAGGGAGCCAGGCAGTCCTAGCTGTAAGTTCAGGCACCTCTGCCCTGGGATGGACGTAAGCAGAGGGCTTTGTGGGAGCTCAAAGCAAGGAACAAGATGACCCTGACTCAAAGGCTTCCAAGAGGAAAGGGCACTGGAACTGGGTCTTGAAGGGCGAGTAGGAGTTTGCCAAGTAGAAAAGGGTGAGGAAGAGAGATTCCTGACAGAGAGAACAGCGTGAGAAAAGGCCGTTCAAGTTGGCCCTATGGGACAGAGTAGAGCTGCTCCCTAGGGTTTCCGAGGCTGTAAATCTCTACTGGAGGAGACAGCCTCGTCTTTCTCCCAAGAAGTTGCTGGTCTGGTAGGTCTGAACTGTGGACCTTGTGGTGAGCAGCCCAATGCTGACCCGACAGGTAGGGCCACTAGAGCGCCCTCTGGAGCGTTTAGTGAGGCACAGTTAGAGTCCTGGGGTCTCATCTCCATGGGATTGATGGGAGACAGGGCAAAGTGAAGAGAGAACAGCCTTTGGAGGATTGGAGACTGGCTGGCGTTGACTCCATTCCCGGAGCTTACCAGAGACGTGTGCATCCAGGCCTCCGAGAGCCAGTTTCCTGTCTGTGAAACGGGAGCCGCAGGAACCCTCCAAGCGGCAGGAAGGCGTGCGTGATGGTGATCACGCAGCTCTTGTTTTATCTGCGCTGTGCATGCGCCCTCTCTCCAGTTTACGTACCACAGAGGAGCTGGAGAGGTGCCTGCCGGGCCAGGGTGGATTTACTGCTTGGCAGCAGGGAGCCTTCCGAGAGAGGGGACAGCCCCTCCCGGTTGGAGATACTGGGTGCTCAGGGACTGGGAGGGGGGTGGGAGTGGTGTCAACACCAGGGCAGTGGGGGCGAGGTGTGCGGGACGTTCCCCTGGGTGAGCAAGGGAGGTGGGAAGTGAGGAGGCAGGCAGGACGAGTCATCCCGACTGCCAGGTGCCATTTCCCACCTTGGAGACGTCCGGGAGGCGTTCTGCCCGCCCTCTGCCCCCCTCCCTCTGAGCGTTCTCACCCCCGCACTCAACCCCCACCCAAGCCTTTGCTCAACATGCGCCTCCCCCTCACCCGTGTTCTCTGCAGCTCCTACGGGTGGGCCCTCTGGCGACTCCCGGGGTTGCGCTCCTCCTCCTCCTGCGACCAGGGACTCCCCCAGATCCATCTGCCGGCGACAGCCGCGGACTTCGGTCTTTGGGCGCTGCCTCACTCTGGCACGTTGGGGCTCTCTGCTGGCGGCGCCGTGCCACTGCAAGGTGTCCGGACCACCTGCGGCAGCCATGCTCAGGCTCGGCCCTGGGGTCATCTTTTCGGACACACCTTCCCCGGCCTGCCAAAGAGATGGCTTCAGACCTGGCCAGCCCCAGACTGGCTGGCACAGAAAGAGAGCCTGGGCCCCTGGCACCATCTGTGCAAATGGCTGTTCCCGTCCCACAGTCCCACATGTCCCCTGGCGCCCAGCCCTGTCTGCGCTGGGCGCTGGGCTGGGGGAGTGGGCGGGGTTGGAATGCCGGCCTCCTGAGCTCACATCCACCTTGGACCTGGAGTCACACAGGTGCCCTGGCTGCTCCCGCCGCACCCAGTCACTTCTGCCTCTGCCATCAGCCCAGCAGGCCCGGCCACCATCATCCATCACTGGTCCCTTGACCCTGCGAAAAGGCGCAGGCAACCTGTTCTCCACGCACAGCCTGGGGAGGGGATTTTAAGAAGCAAGTTTGATTGTGTCAGTCTTTAGTCAAACCCGGTACCGGCCATGCCCCAGGCCCCTGGATCCTCTAGGGAAAGGCCCTCCTGCTGTTTGGGGAGGGCTGGGAGGGGGCATCCTTCTCTGCTTCTCATTCAGTCCTCTCTCCCTCCCATACTTGCGCCTTTCTGTGACCTGGGGGCTCTCACTTCCTGTTCCTGGACTTGAGGGGACTCCGTTGACTGTCAGAGCCCTCTGTTCTCTCTGACAGGAATGGGAGAGGGGAGGGGTAGGCTACATGCTCTTGGCCCTCCTCCTCCCCCAGTGACTCTCCTCCCCACCCCACCCCCCACCCCTGGCCCCAGATGACAAATGTGTGGTTAGCTTATCTCCTCACAGGGGAAGTATCAGATCATCTGGAGCCCCATGGCCATC